CAAGTAAGTAAATGAAACAATGGTGGTTACTGGTGAGTGTTGTTATCTGAAATGGCTGTTTCTGATAATGCCATTGCCAGGACCTCCACCTCGAGGTTGTTCGCCGGAAGTGAGTTTCTGCAACCGAATCTGTTCCCGGAATTTGGCTATGAACTCACCGGCCTTTCTATCAACCTCGTTATGGTCATGGCTTGCATTGCTTTGGCTTTCCCAAGCAGCTTCTTGTTCTTCTTCCTCTAAGGCTACTTGAGGTTCCTCGGCCACAGTCTCTTCTATAGCATCATCTTCTGGCTCAGATTTAGAACGAGTTTCTGACATTTTCTCCTGGTGTAGTACAATTGATAGTTCTTCATGTCGTTGTCTTCTTGATTTTGTTCTTCCTCGGCTTTCTACTTTAGCTACCGCTCGGTCATCAGATGAATCTCCATCTGTCTTCAGATCTTTACCATGGCGATCAGATCTTATCGTCCTCACAGACTTTCCTCTCGATGGAACTTTACTAGAAGATCTCCAAGATTGTGGTTCACATCTCGGACTGTTTGATTTCAATTCCTTGTTATTACCAAGGTCTTTCTTTCTGGACTTGTCGAAATCCACAGAGTCTTCCTCTGAGTTTCTTGTGACATCTTTCTCCGGCAATGTGTCACGTCCACCTCTTGAAGAACGCATTGCACGCCTCGAAGCTTTAGCATTCGTTGGTTGGAACAGTACATCTAGAGGAGGAAAAGATTCACTGAATTTCTCGCCTTTTGGAGAGTCTTCTGCTGTTAACTCCAAAGAGTCGTGGCTCCGTCCTTTCTTGACCCTCGGATTGTTAAGGTCGGGCTCCAATCCTTTCCCGATATTGTCCTCAAACAAATGGCCATCACTCTTTTGCTGAATATCCCGTCTCCTGATTGTGGCGGCATCATCAGCACCACCAAGAGGAGATGAGATGGACTCAGGAGGATAGGATCTGCGAGACTTGTTCCTACTCCGGGAACTTTCAGCAGTCAAATTAAGCGATTTTGATCCCCGTTCCTTCTTGCTAAAGAATTCTGTTCTTCTGCCTCTGACTTTACTCCCCTCCAACTCATTTTCAATCCCCCTCCTTACATCTTCCTCTAACAAGGAACCATCGCTATAATGCCGAGAATGTGAGACACGCCTGTGAGTAGTATCATCCATCACTAACTCTGGTGATGGTGGAGATGGAGACAATGACGGTGATGGAGGCAAGGATGGCGAACTAGACCGTGACGAACCCTGAAGACTCTTTTCCTTAACCAGTTCCTCCACATTCGAGTTTAACGACTCTTCAGAAACAGAACGAGAAGGCGAGAATCTGTTCTGAGTAAGTGATTCAAGACTAGTTTGC